AACACAGTACATCAAATGTTAATTTTAAGGTTCATAGCAGAGAAAGAAAAGAGAAAGAATAGGCTGGTTTACAACTGTTTCATAGAGTTCGAGAAACTATTCGATTTGACAAACCAGCTAAAACGTGGGCAATATTAGGATCATACAGAGTAGGGAAAATATTGATCCCGCAGATTCTGCAGGACATAGGTGAGAGGTTAAAGTCGGCAGTAGAATTTGGACCATTAAAGTTTGGACAGGAAATATCAAAATGTTCCCAACAACAATAGACATGACACAGGGAGATCCACTATCGCTAAACAACTTTATCACATACATGGAAAGATTGATGGATGCCATTCCGGAAAACGGCACAGGAGTATCTGTGCAAGGAAAAAAAAAATAATATGGGATTTGCTCACAACACAGATCTGATGGAAAAAAGCTGCGTGGTACTGCAGTCAAGTATGCATATGCTGAATATGCCAGGAAAGGAGGCAGGACTGAAGATTAATGTGGAAAAAACATGGATGATGGCATTAGGAAAGGAGAAATTTGAGAAAGAAGTAATACTAGAAAACAGCAAGATTGGGAATGAAAAGGAATTTGAATACTTTGGAAGTCTACTGACATGGGACGACTGCACAAACGACATTATAGCGAGGATCGCAAAGGGGAAAGGAGTAATAGCAGGCTTTAATGAAATCTGGAGCAGCAAGTAAATCAGCAACAAGACTAAACTGAACATCTTAAGAACATGCTTGTTGAGTACAGCTTCGCATGCCTGAGACTTGGACATGAAAACGACTGACAGAGATAAAATGTTGATACTCGAAATATATTACAATAAGACCTCAGAGTACCCTGGTGTAAGCGCGAATTCGGGGAAGTTGGGGTTCGCCTATACGAGTGTACTGTATATGATGCTAGCTGGGTGGCCTCGTTTTTTGCGCGGGCGATACAGTTACACGCTGTCAAAATACATGTTCACGTGATGGCATGGATAATTTGACTGGCTTCCAACCCGGTACATTTAGCAAAAGTATGAGTCACAAGTTTAAGTATGAATCGGGGTCGGTCACGTATGAGCGGGTCCGCGTACTCTGAGCCCTTGTAGTGTACTACAGAAGATACTTACTGCAACTAAGCTGACTAAAGTATAACTAAGAAAAAGTTTGCACGCAGAATACCTGATTGATGCAGGCAGTGAGGACAATGAAAACTGGCACAATCAGTACATTTAAATGTGTTGTTCGGGAAAATGGAAGGAACCGGAAAGAAGAAGGCCTTCCAGAGAATGGCTTGACCACATAAGAGATTGGTGCCAGAAAGTTGTGCACTACTTGAGCATATTGGCACAAGACAGAGGAAAGTGGAAACAATTGACAGAATGTGCAGTGGACACCGACGGGCTATCTCCCCATTGATAATTTCACAACACCCAAATAGTGCAGCAGCTCATCTCTACTTACACTGCAGCTCTGCATAGCAATATCTGTATGTATTTATGTTGTTACATTGGGTTTCTACTAACAACAATAAGGTCGTGTTAAATGGCAGGATTGAAGTGATTAATGCGAAAATGCAGTACTGTACTCATGTTGAAGATAGCAACAACAGAAGCCTTGATAGCATTTGCTGAAATATTGGTAGTTTAATTGTGGAAAAATGGCTGCATTGCAAGATACGCTCTGATGATTTAAGACTTTAGTAAATTATTGTAAATGGGTAATGGCTTGCTTGCACGTAATATTTGATGTAAACTTGTACACTGTATGGCCAACTTGTATAGATTGCACCATGTTTTGGGACAGTGTTTAGCGATATGAATAGTTGAGCAGTGAGAACACGCAGCAGCGCTAGCTAAGGAAACGTACCTAGCTCCATCATTCGCTGGGTCAATGAGAGCGACACACACTCTAAGCCAACCAGACCCCACCGCCCGCGATTCAATTATCACGATTCATGGTCATAATTATATTTTTTAAAACATTGACTTGTTTAACCAGTTGAGAACTCACACGACCGGGACAGTCTCAGGCTCCACCTAAAAACACCTCGCCACACAAATTTAGGTCTTCACTAAGATCATGGAGGTCATGAAGCCTTTCTCTGAGAATGACCTGGACTGGAAGCGCAGCAGCTCCTTTAAGCTCGTCTTCCTGCGCTACCTTGTAGGATGAGTAAAGTAGAATGCACTCATAAGTATAGTACATAATACTGATGCTATTATAAATCATACATGTTCTTAACTGTTTAGCATCTGTATTATTGTAGGGCTTGAGATAAGCGTCACGCGCTGGGTCAGTATGCGCGCACGTGACGGACAGTGAGGGCGAACGAGGACACAGGGCGCTGATTGGCTAGCCGTTGTTGTTGTACAAATTAAGGTGGCGTGATATTTAAGGGGGCCGCAGGTGGGTAATTGAGGACGCAGGGCACTGATTGGACGAGAGGGACTGTTGTCTGACATTGGCGCCGGCGTGTCTGGAACAACAACGCCACGTGGCACCGGGGCCTGGGGGCGAGTGGCGTCGTGGGGGATGACCTAATTGATTAAGGGTAATTGGTTCGGGATTAAGGGTGAGATGGTGGAGTGAAACGGGAGTTGGTGCCTGGGACAAGAGACAAACGGATGGAGAGACGGAGCAGTGGATAGAGTGAGTACAGCGTAGGGTAGCAGCGGAGTAACAGAAGCATCAGTGGAGAGAGAGATGACGGAGTTAATGAAGAGCAGCCGAGCTGGAGAGAGAGAGAGCGGAGAGGAGAATCGACGAAGGAGCAGAAGGGAGCGAGCGAGGCGAGCGGAGCGCAGCGAGCGAGCGGAGAAACATTGAGTGGTGTTGACGGAGAGTTGTGGGTTGGAGTGTACGGTGGAACATTGAGCGGTGTTGGAGAGTTGTGGGTTGGAGTGTACGGTGGAACATTGAAGGTGTTGTCGGGAGAGATGTGGAACTATATAATTAAATAAAGAACCGAGGAAAGACAAGAAGCTGTCGTGTCGGTATGAGCACTACATTATTAGCGCTATTACCGATACCCCAGTGAAGCCCTCATATTACTACTATGAGCCAAGAATGTCTGTGTGTAACTCACGTGACGTCACTCAACTTGCCGCACCCCCCACGTCACTGTGTGATGAGTCTATGGCTCTCTGTGCGGTGAGTATGTGGGTCTCTGTGTTGTGAGTCTGTGGGTCATTGTGTGGTGAGTCTATGGTTCTCTGTGTGGTGAGTCTGTGGGTCTCTGTGTAGTGAGTCTGTGGGTCTCTGTGTGGTGATTCTGTGGTTCTCTGTGTGGTGAGTCTGTGGGTCTCTGTGTGGTGAGTCTGTGGGTCTCTGTGTGATGAGTCTATGGCTCTCTGTACGGTGAGTATGTGGGTCTCTGTGTTGTGAGTTTGTGAGTATCTGTGTGGTGAGTCTGTGGGTATCTGTGTGGTGAGTCTGTGGATCTGTGTGGTGGGTCTGTGTGGTGAGTCTGTGGGTATCTGTGTGGTAGGTCTTTGTGGTGGGTCTGTGTGGTGAGTTTGTGGGTGTCTGTGTGGTGAGTCTATGGGTCTCTGTGTGATGAGTCTATGGGTCTCTGTGTGGTGAGTCTATGGTTCTCTGTTTGGTGAGTCTGTGGGTCTATGTGTGATGAGGCTATGGGTCTATGTGTGATGAGTCTATGGGTCTCTGTGTGATGAGTCTGTGGGTCTCTGTGTGATGAGTCTATGGGTCTCTGTGTGGTGAGTCTGTGGAACCGTGAAGTGAGCGGGGTCATCGTGAGAGCCCGGGAACGTGAGAGGGTGGAAGTCGGGACCCAGGGTAGGGGAAATTAGCACCAGGCTAGGGGGGCTGCTTTACCCTGTCGGCCGATGTTGGTTAAGCCCTCAGCTCGGCGAAGAGCCCGGATAGCTGGTGTGCTAGGCAACCCAGTACCCTACCCCTGTGGAGATGTATATTAGCCCTAACCAGTAATAGGCGTAAGCCCCTAATAAACCCTTGGCGAAAGCCCCTAAGAAGATCTACCTCTGAGTCGTCTTTAACAACACAACAACTGGCATCAGAAGTGGACTCTTTCAAGGCTAAGTTACATGAAGAAAAATGGCGATGCACTTGAAAAAGCGGAACCCACCTGTTGCGTCTTCCGACAACGAAGAAGCAGCGACATGGGATCGGACGACCCCGGGCTCCGTGGCCCCCGGTTATTGCGGCCACGGCTGGTGTCTCTACCGCACCAGTGGATGACATCGGCATGCTGGGAAGACGGTCGCCATTACGCGTCCTCCAGCGACCACGTGGTAGGCTGCCGCCATCTTGGCCATCGCGGCGGAGAAGCGGTCGGGAGCGGCCATTTCAGAGGTGCCACATGGTGCGCATCCTGCTGCTGATGCAGCTGTTGCGCGGGAAGGAGCCGCAAGGAGAGGACACCGTGGTCGCTGCGAGGGCTGGCGGGAGAAGTCGGAGGGCAAGCGGGCCCCGCGGTGGGGCCACCATTTCGGCGGTTGGCAGGGGACGCTGTTCCCGCCAAAACGCCGTTCCCGCCATCGGAGAGCGTGATCCCGTCATGCTATGGCTGACGGCTTGACCTGACAGCCTGGAGGTTGAGACCCTCTGTGGTGCGTCTGGAGCTGTAGGCTCGCCCTGACGGCCCGGAGATTGAAACACTCCGAGGCACGTTGAAACAGTGGGCTGGAAGTTCGTGGTGTTCAGGTGTTGTTGTCCAGTTGCGTTGGGACTGTATCCCTCCGTTGTTAGGGTGCATTTTGTGCAGTAGGTGGGCGATAGCTGTTCTCGGCTCGGTCGGTACGGCTATAGGCTGCGATGCGGGTCTCGGAGAGAGACTTGGTTAACGTTCCCTTGATACGGCCGATGCGTGTGCGTCGGGAAGGTGGGGGGTGATGCCATGGCTGCTCTCGGCTCGGTCGGTACGGCTATAGGCTGCGATGCGGGTCTCGGAGAGAGACTCGGTTAAAATTCCCGCGATACGGCCAACGCGTGCACGTCGGAAAGGCGGGGGGTGATGCCTGGTGGCATAAGATGCCCGGGGTGGCCTTCAAGGGAGGGCTGCTACGTTGTGCGAGCGCGGGAAACCACGCGTGCAGCCGCCATGTTGTGCATGCACGGGAAATCGCCGAGATGCGGTTCGTGCATGCAGACGCCATTTTGTGCGAGCGCGTGAGGCCGCGAAGATGCGGATCACGCGTGCGGCCGCCATTTTGGGCGAAGCACAGGAAACCGTGGGGAAGCCGTTTGCGCGTGCGGCCGCCATTTCGGCCAATTTTCACGCCAAACTATTTTCTTTAACTAAAATGCAGATCCTGGGGGCGTCCCTGAAGCGCGACTTCTTCGCCCCGGGACATGGGTTGGTTCTGACGCATGACGTCTCGACCCGGGATGTCGGATGACGTCCTGATTGGGGTGTGTGTGTGAGCGCTAAGCAGCTCTTCCATCTTCGTTCTATCACTGCCTAGTGGATGGAACGTGGCTGGGGGTCGGGGAACCCTGCCATCCGTGTTGTGTGAGTGAAGGTGTACATACAGTGGAACCCCGAAGATCGAACTTAATTTGTTCCAGACGCCCATTTCCACACCGATTTGGTCGAACACCGATTTGTTCGGGTTCTGGTGCGTTGGTTGTGCATCAAACGCGTCTGAATTTGTCTATTCTTTTTTTCCTCTTCTCTCGCGCCGGCCGGAATCCCCTCATCTCCACTGCTTAGGGGCCGGGTGACTGTTGTGTCCGCCAAGCCAGGCCGCACAGGTTGTGATAGCGCGAGCGATCCCATCCCTTTGTGTGTGCCTGCAGAAACCCCGCCAGTAATTCCACGAGTGGCGCCTCACCCAGTGGATGTGCTGGTGGACTTGACACCTGCCAGTACACCGCCGATTCCGACGCCGACGCGGGGAAGCGGGCCGGCGTCACGCACACCTTCACGGGGCGTGCGGATACGGTGACGGTCAGTGGGGCCGTTTCTTCGTCCCTTGCCTTCTTCGGACACTTTTACGGTGTCCCATGTGGGAACTGTCCCCAAAGTTTCCCTGTACCGTGCTGCCCTAGTGTGGGGTTGTGTTCTTGCAGCTGGTCCTGTTCTCTTCACACACATGTCACTTGCGCTCTTTTGATGTGGTTGTTTCCCCATCCGAGTTGCCGGGCTCCGCTCTCGTAATGTGATGACATTACGTCTCGCTCACCCTCTGGTGCCATGACGTCACAGGATGTGGCGTCAGGTGGACTTTCCGGTATGATAACGTCACGGGCGGTGACATAATGTCCTGGAGTACTTAAGCTGGAACCCATGAAGTGAGCGGGGTCGTCGTGAGAGCCTGGAAACGTGAGAGGGTGGAAGTCAGGACCCAGGGTAGGGGAAATTAGCACCAGGCTAGGGGGGCTGCTTTACCATGTCGGCCGATGTTGGTTAAGCCCTCGGCTCGGTGAAGAGGGAAGAGCCCGGATAGCCGGTGTGCTAGGGAACCCAGTACCCTACCCCTGGGGAGATGTATATTAGCCCTAACCAGTAATAGGCGTAAGCCCCTAATAAACCCTTGGCGAAAGCCCCTAAGAAGATCTGCCTCCGAGTCGTCTTTAACAACACAACACTATGAATTGGAGGTGACCTGCATAAATTAAAAAAAATTAAAAAAAATTATAATTCATGTTGTTATAACAATTCTATTTATATTCTTGGGTCTTTCTGTAAAGTCATGTAGATAGGTTAAAATAAAATAAAAATAACAAAACTAAGACGTTTCGATTGCAATGCGATCAAAACGTCGTAGTTTTCTGTTATTTTTGATTATTTTCTTTGAAGCTATCTACGTGACTTTACCGAAAGACCCAAGAATATGAATTCCTGCAGTCACGAAAGCTTTAAGTGAATTCTATTTAATTAAGTAGAATGTGTTATATTAATTTAAAGTTGCGCATTTTGATGTGACGTCACATTTCTCAAACCCCCCCTCCCCCCTCGTAACACATCGTCACAAATGTCTGACTCCCCTCCCCCCTAGGTGCTTGACATCATTTATGGACGGCCCCCAACACCGATGACGATTCTCTGAATGATAACCTGCTGTATGTTGTCGATGAGTATGCCAAAATTGAGAGTGAATGCCTTTTTTACATTCAACTGAATCAAAAACGCCTGCGTGTAGAACAGTATGCTCATCTCAGGGACGCTATCAATGCTGAGGGAGATGCAAACGCTCAGAATGTGGGGAGATTAGTTATTTTGCATTCATCCTTCACATAGTTAGCCTGATAACTTTAATCTGCATTGTCTTATGGTTGTTATTGTTTGACTTGCATCCAAAGGGATTTTTGCACACAGCGTTGAAGTACTGTGTTTTTGTGGAAGACTTTGCTGTTTTTTCCAGGATTTTTATGTTGCGTGTAGTCACTTTAAGATGTTTCTTGTTCACGTGTATTTTGTGTTGTGGTTGCACCCGAGTCAAGAGCCGCATGGCTCACAGGGTTAGACCTAATACATGAAAATGAAACTGAAAACTTATGTTTCAGCAGAACCAATTTTTACGAATGACTGTAAACTTATATTATTCCCTTAACTTCAAAGGCCCGGGGTGACGTATGTTGAGTCTGCTTGGTTGCTTCCGATTTACAAGCCATTAAAACAAATACCACTGGCGGCTCATTAACGTAATTTACCCATTAATCCTGTCCATTTCAATCATTATGTCCGGTTCAGCGGCCACGCCCAATAACTCCATATTTGGGCACGCCTCGTTAACATAATCTCTTCATACACATCCGTGTTAACTTGTGGGGAGGCGGTGTGGGTGCTAGTGACGTCATGTCATTTCTCCTGCTGCGTGCTTCCGTGTGACGTCACGAAATCTCAGGAGCTGCTTCTGTGCGCGCAACTCTCGGATCGGAGGTGAGAAGTTCACATCGTGATGTTGGTTGTTGTTGTTGTTGTTTACCCAGGTACAGCCTCGCTTCTTCCCTCTCTCTCTCTCTCGTAGCGATAGCAATTGAGTAGCGGCAAGTATGGAATCGATGTCCAGGTTGGAACGTTACTACGTGGGGCCGAGCCATGCAGGCCTTGCCTCCTGCCCTTGCCTGACTGACTTTGCTTGATTCTCTTAAGTTTAATGTGTCTTCACCTGGCTGACTACTTCACCTCTCAGAGTCTCCATACTCTAGTTCAGGATCATCGAGTTTTGTTTTGTATTCCCGATTGAGTAATTTGCAGGCCACTTTTCAACACTGGAATATTTGGACGAAACCAGCCCAGACGTTTACTTTTAGTCGGAATGAGACATCAAAGCATTACACAATTACACTCGCCCACCCACACGCTCACCCACACGCTCCCACTCATACACTTACACGCTCACCCACTGTCAGCGAGCATCTATGAAGGCCGGCACGGCACACGAAGTGGTAGGTGACCAGCACCACGCCCGGACTGCCTTTGTCTCCCGAGTGGCGATGTTTACACACCGCACAAGGTACTAATTGGAGGCTGAGTTGACCTAGGGGAGGCTTAGGACCAGTTCAGATATGTCACTAGTGTTGGCTTTGAGGGGAAATCGAACCCGGGTCGCCGGTTTATAGCACAGCGGGATAACCGATACACTACCGCCCACCCACACACACACAAAGACAACGTTTAAATAGGTGAGTTTTCAAGACGGACTTAATTATATCTATCGACTCTGTCTTACTAATCAGGGTGACCGCTTCATTTGACCAGAGTGGTGAACCTGGAATGCTGGATTGGTGACGTTTGCACGGCAGTGGGTTCAGCCTGCTTGGACAGTGCGTGGGCAAAACCTGCCCTGTCACTGAGAGAGGAGGCAGACTGACCAGTGGCTTCCAAGTCGGTGTGAGTGCCCTTGCCCTTTACACCCAAAGCTCGCTTAGCGCTCCTCCAGATGCTTTGTTCCTGGAGAATTGAGCGCCAATCGATCAGCGCTACAAGGGGTCATCATGAACCCATTGTATACTATATAGCGATGCGTTCCTGACAATGTTATATCTTTAGTCTGAATAATATATGGGGCTTTATTTGGGTATCGGTAATAGAGCTAATAATACAGATGCTAAACATTTAATAAAAATAATGATTTATAACATCGGTATTATGTACTCTACTTACGAGTGCATTCTACTTTACTCATCCTACAAGGTAGTGGGGGGAGACAAGGTTGAAGGAGCTGCTGCGCTTCCAGTCTGGGTCATTCTCAGAGAAAGGCTCCAGGACCTCCCTGATCTTAGTGAAGCCCTCAATCTAAATTTGTGTGGCTAGGTTTTCTTAGGTGGAGCCTGCGACACTATTCTGGTCGTTTGAGGTCTCAACTGGCTAAACGAGTCATATTTTTTAAACAATCATGACCACGAATTGTGATCATTAAATCGCGGGGGTGGGGACTGGTTGGCTTAGAGCATGCGTCGCTCTCATTGGCTGAGTGAAGATTGGGCCGGGTACGTTTGCTTGGCTAAGCGCTGCTGCGTGTTCTCACTCGTGAGCACTTTGTAAACTTAAAAAAGAATTACGAAATGAAATATCCAGGACAAAGAGCACTGGAACAAATCGGCACTCTAAGGGTCGCACTAAGCGAGGTCTGCCTGAAAATTGTGTAATATGTATGTATTTGCAGAATCAATCACATGGAGAAGAGAGGCTTGGCAAAAGCTGGAAGGAAAAGGCACCAATGCATCCAGTGTCCATACAGCACCGATCAGATGGGTCACTTGAAGAGACATCAGAGAAAACACACAGGCGAGAAGTCCTTCAAGTGCAGTGTATGTGGTAAGGCATTTGCAGAGTCAGTTTTTCTTGAGAAACATAATAGAACACACACGGGCGAGAAGCCCTTCAAGTGCACTGTATGTGGGAAGTCATTTGCTCACTTAAAAACTCTTCAAATTCATCAGAGAACACACACGGGCGAGAAGCCCTTCAAGTGCAGTGTATGTGGTAAGGCATTTGCAGAGTCAGCATATCTTAAGAAACATACTAGAACACACACTGGCGAGAAGCCCTTCAAGTGCACTGTGTGTGGCAAGACATTTGCTCGTTCAGAAGCTCTTCATATTCATCAGAGAACACACACCGGTGAAAAGCCCTTCAAGTGCACTGTGTGTGGGAAGGCATTTGCTCAACCATTAACTCTTCATATTCATCAGAGAACACACACCGGTGAGAAGCCCTTCAAATGCACTGTGTGTGGGAAGTCATTTGCTCATTCAAACACTCTTCAAATTCATCAGAGAACACACACAGGCGAGAGGTCCTTCAAGTGCAGTGTATGTGGTAAGGCATTTGCAGAGTCAGTATATCTTAAGAAACATAATAGAACACACACGGGCGAGAAGCCCTTCAAGTGCACCGTGTGTGGCAAGACATTTGCTCGTTCAGAAAATCTTCGTATTCATCAGATAACACACACCGGTGAGAAGCCCTTCAAGTGCACTGTGTGTGGGAAGGCATTTGCTCGTTCAGTAACTCTTCATATTCATCAGAGAACACACACCGGTGAGAAGCCCTTCAAGTGCACTGTGTGTGGGAAGGCATTTGCTCGTTCAGAAACTCTTCATATTCATCAGAGAACACACACCGGTGAGAAGCCCTTCAAGTGCACTGTGTGTGGGAAGGCATTTGCACATTCAGAAACTCTTCATAGTCATCAGAGAACGCACACTGGTGAGACGCCCTTCAAGTGCAGTGTATGTGGTAAGGCATTTGCAGAGTCAGCATATCTTAAGAAACATAATAGAACACACACGGGCAAGAAGCCCTTCAAGTGCACTGTGTGTGGGAAGGCATTTGCTCGTTCAGAAACTCTTCATAGTCATCAGAGAACACACACTGGTGAGACGCCCTTCAAGTGCAGTGTATGTGGTAAGGCATTTGCAGAGTCAGCATATCTTAAGAAACATAATAGAACACACACGGGCAAGAATCCCTTCAAGTGCACTGTGTGTGGGAAGGCATTTGCTCAACCATTAACTCTTCATATTCATCAGAGAACACACACCGGTGAGAAGCCCTTCAAGTGCACTGTGTGTGGGAAGTCATTTGCTCGTTCAGAAAATCTTCGTATTCATCAGAGAACACACACCGGTGAGAAGCCCTTCAAGTGCAGTGTATGTGGTAAGGCATTTGCAGAGTCAGTATATCTTAAGAAACATAATAGAACACACACGGGCGAGAAGCCCTTCAAGTGCACTGTGTGTGGCAAGACATTTGCTCGTTCAGAAAATCTTCGTATTCATCAGAGAACACACACCGGTGAGAAGCCCTTCAAGTGCAGTGTATGTGGTAAGGCATTTGCAGAGTCAGCATATCTTAAGAAACATAATAGAACACACACGGGCAAGAAGCCCTTCAAGTGCACTGTGTGTGGGAAGGCATTTGCTCAACCATTAACTCTTCATATTCATCAGAGAACACACACCAGTGAGAATCCTTTCAAGTGCACTGTGTATGGGAAGGAGTTTACATTATCAGGAAACCTAAAGAGGCATGAGAAGATCCACAAGGAGAAAGTGAAATCGACTTGTGAAAGTCAACATGCTGCAATGAGCCCATCTCTCATGAAACGAGAATCAGAAGAAAATTCCAACTTGGCAACAGTGAAATTTGAAGAAGTTAAATGTGAAGAAGTGACGGTGAAATGTGAAGATCAAGATAAGACTCCAGGACCCAATCTGCAAGTGGATGGAGGCAGCGTGAAGCAGGAGGAGCATTCCGATTCTGAGGGAGAGCGAGGAAATCCCCAGCAGTTTGTGGATGTGGAGGTGTGGGTAGAGTTTTTGGACAAAGCTGAGTAGGAGGGGCTAGAATGTGTGAAATGGCACCTTGGAAGATGTGTAACCTGGAGTTGAGACGATTTTCCATAGCATTCACTTTATTCACAGGCTTCTGTCATTTCAAGAATGCATAGGGGTTTGGGTGTCATCCAGGCAGAGATGGGCTTTCTGTACATATGAAGTTATTGAGTGTCGAAGTGAAATAGTCGATATGCAAAGCATTATGCTGCCTTATAAAACATGAATTAGGAATGTATTTGATGGTTACGTATTAAATTAATAAGTATGAATTATAACTGTTGGGCATTACTATCAAAGTTGCTGTCAGGTGTGGCCGTGCTTTTCTGCATGCTCCCAATCTGTTTTTATGATTGTTTTTTAAATGCCCTTTTATAAAAAAAAAGGTAAGCATATTAGTATTATTTACATTTGGCTTAATACCCTAAATATATTTGTTCATAATATCAAAATAATTTAATGTCAGGCCTACTTTCTGCACTTGTTTTGCTTTTAATTCGTTTAGGTTTCATTTAATTGGGCTTTGCCTGATGTTACTTTTTTATGGTAACAGCAGAGGTCTGCAAGTGTACTATACATCCCACCTTGCAGAGTGTAGTGGTTTATAGTACAGTGTAGTGTCACGTGTGCAGTGCATAGTGAATAGTTCGTGGTAAATGTGATGTGTGGTGAAATGTGTGTATGTATGGTGTAGTATATTGTATACAGTGCATAGTGTAAGAAGCCGGCTTAGGCTTTTCACGTGACGAATCGAACGCAATGTATCATTGCACTCCGTCGCGAGTTGCAGTCTAAAAGTGTCAAATGAGAGTAAAGTTCTGCATCTTGACGCTGCATGCCACTTGCAGTGAGGCGTGTTGTGCGCCACGCAGTTGCTGTAGCTGGTGTGAGCTTACCTGTGAATCGCACGTGTAATTGTGCACTTTGCAATGTTGCTGTAATTGCTACTTAGAGCCAGGTGCTGGTGTTTTTTTTTATATGTGTGTAACAACATAAATGGGCCGTTCTATGGCGACAGTGCGTGTACTATACACAAGGCTTATTAGAGGGCAGATTTCGTATGTCACGGAGGTCGGCTCAGGATATGACAGTCTGGGTGAACCCACGAATGCACGTGACCGGATGAGGGATCACGGGGGCCCCCAGAAGGGGGTTAGCGGGCCATGTGATGTGGATCCAGATTCTTCACGAAGGATCGAGAATGGGGCGTAACTAGAGGCAGAGCCAGGTCACGCCGCAGGAAATGTAAGCTGAGCCCCGAGAGGGAGCGTGGCTGTTCAACCCGGGAAGAAGTTGTCTTCCCCGAGCTTCGCTCTTTAGTATGCGATGACACGACGGCATGTCGGAAGTTCTAGTTCACCCGTATAGGGAATCCTTTCAAGTGGTTTGGAACGGTGACCACCACATTACGTAGTTAACCTGTAATGTAAATAGTCGCTCGGAATGGTCATAGTTTACTTTGGAACGTTGAGTAGTGTTGGTTGTGTTAGAGAATAAACGTGTTGCCTCCCAGTCTTGGTCTGCGCCTGATTAGAAACCACTACAACTGGTGTCGGAATGTGAGAATCTTACTAGATGCTATCCTTGGGTATAAATGTGTTTACAAGGCGATGACAGCTTACCAAGATGTCACAGAAGACGAAGAAGATGGGTTGATTCCACAAACAGCCCCGGGTGAAATAATCCTGGAGGAAACGTTCGCTGAAGCCCAGTTGTTGGAACTACGGGAGGAGCCCAACCTCGCTGCGCCGCCGTCGCCCAACAAGCTGCGCCGATCGCGGGGCGCCCGCCTCGTTGACTTGTTGACTGCCGCTGCCGTGTTGGCAGCCGAAATGGGGCTGGAACAGCTGCTGGAAAGGGCCGGCGGGCCAGCGCTGCGGGGAGACGACCAAGATGACGCGTATCCCACGCTCGCAGCCGCCATTGTAGAGATGCGGGGGTGAAAGCGGGGTCGCCGTCTAGGCGTGCAGCCGCCATTTCACCGGACCTGCTGGAGGTGGCGAGTCCGCAGCCAGCACATGTGGATGCCACAGTGACGACAGCGCGAGACGACGGGGTTCGTCCAACGAATCTCGCCACAACTACACGCGAAGGTACCAGTTTTGAATTAGACCCTTACCTGCATCAAGGAATTCCCCTGTGTCAGGGGGGATTGGGCGGCATTCTGTCGCTGTTTTACGGCTACCTGCGAGCTAGCAGGGTGGCCAGATGCCGAGGCGTTATGAGCATTGCCGACTACCCTCGACGAAGACGCTTTGGGTGCTTTCTACGCCATCCCGCCGAAAGATCGTGAGATGCTCCAGCAGGCACTTGCGCAGATGGCGGGTATTTTCGACCCTCCATCTAACATACGGCATAAGTTTTCTGCACGACAGCGGGGGGAGGCCGAGATGCCCCTCACCTTCCGCAGCGTGCCCTGGCGCAAGCTGCCTACTTGAGAATGGATGAGGACGGCTTGGATTCCTTGGTCCTCGAGCGGTTGTCGGGCTTCCGCGGGACCTCAAGGTCCACAGGCGGGTCGCGGCGCACCACACACCCGGCACTTACATCTATTTCACCCATTTTACGGGTCGCGGACAGTGTAAACCATGTTGTAGGGAACGACGGGTGGCCGCGGGGAATATCCAGTGGTAAGCACTGGGTCACCGTATGATCGCCGCAGCAGAGGCTTCGTTGGTTGTTGGCATGGTTCAAGGTGTGGAGGTGCGGATATTTATTGATACGGGTGCATCTGCAACCATGATTTCGGAATTGATTTTTAATATCCTCCCACCCTCTTCATGTTTTCTGCGTCCCATTGCGGTACCGTGTTTTGCGGCAAACGGGGGGTCTCTGGGCATTATCGGTCAGGTTTTGGCGGACGTATGTATTGGTGACATCCGCTTGACAGGGCCCATATTCATCTCTAGACCTCTTGCTGTACCGTGCCTTCTGGGCACGGATTTCTTGGGTAAGAATCCTTTGAAAATACTCATTGATCAGAGCTATATTGAGGTACCATCAAGCCGGTGGATGGTGTTTCTGTCCTCCCCTACGCAGTTTGTCTCGGGTTATGCCCCCGTCCAAGCCTAGTGACGAGAACTGTTAAAATTCCCCCCGGGGCCCAAATGTTAGTCCCCTGCAACTGCGTAAGCAGCTGGGGCGGGAGGCGACCACTGACGGAATGTTATTAGTCTCCTCTAATAAGCTGTACCGTCGGTTGACTTTGGTGGGAGTGCAGACCTTGGTCGTGAGGGACCAAGAGGCTTTCATTCAGGTTCTAAACGCTGGCATAGAAACTTCCATTATCCAGGCGAGCACGGTTCTTGCGCATGCATCACCCATGAGTTGTGGTGTTGGGGAGGTGAATGCGGCGCGAGTGGCAGCGGCCGTTGTACAGAGAGGAGGGCGTGATGACTCATGGCTCGACGCGCTTTGTTCCGAGAGCCCCGAGTTATCGAATGACCAGCGAGGCAGGCTCCGTGCGCTTCTTAGAATTTTCGGACATTTTTAGCAAAGGGAAGTATGACATCAGTCGCACATCCCTCTTGCAGCTTCATATTGATACGGGGAGCGCTGCCCCCATTCGCCAAAACCCCTACAGGTTAAGCCCCAAGGAGGAAGATCATGTGCGGGTCGCGGTCGACAAGATGTTGGCAGCGGACATTATCTCCCCATCGAATAGTCGGTGGGGTACCCCCATAGTGCTTGTGAAGAAACAGGATGGAAGTTTAGTGTACCAAGCTTAAAGTGTCAGTTGCCTCTGCGCACCCGCTCCCGAGGATGGATGATTCCTTGGATGCTCTTTCTGGGGCGTGTTCTTTTTTCACTCTCGATTTGTTGTCTGGATTTTGGTAGCTGCCATTGGGTGCTGATTGTCGGGCCTGCCTGCTGAACTTGTTTTAATATCTTTGCGTCTGATATTATTGATCTTAACTGGACATTATTTTATTCATTTTACACCTGCTGGTTGTACAAATACACATTACATGAAGTGCAATGTAAAGTATGGAGAACACAAGACCAGGGAAGTGCACAAACAAGTCCAGAGCCCAAATAGGAAGTGGCAACCAAGGTAAACGGCGAAAAAGAGATGGACATAGTATTGCAGTGATTTGCATAAGGATTTGGATCAAGAAAATAATGAGCTGCTGGATGAACTCGAAAAATATCCCCACCACCAAGGGATGATGCTCCCTGGATCTGCCTGAGCTGCACCTTAACTCAAACCCAGTTAATCTCATCTCTCGATTGGTGCTTCAGTATTAACCACCACACCTGCCCATCTTGGCTTGTGATAAGTTTGCTGTGCTCTACAACCAGCTTGTCTAAGTTAAGCTCATCTCATCACCTAATTAGCATGACAGGATTACCACCTAAATTTCGATTTAAAGCTTTCGTGACTGCAGGGATAAAACATAATAAAACAATTCTCACGACGTTTCGGCTACAACGCAAGCAGCCGTCTTCAGGTGAAGACGGCTGCTTGCGTTGTAGCCGAAACGTCGTGAGAATTGTTTTATTTTTTATTATTTTATTACTTCCCTTCTACGTGACTTCATCGAAAGAACCAAGAAGAGGATTACCACCTGTATGTTCTGGCTCATGACTAGCCCGCACCCAGCTTGCCCTAGCTGAAGCTCCGCGTATTTCCTCGTCCAATTGATGCGGCAGTATTACTTTTACTGCCTGTCCAACTGGCCACTGCTACCTGCCCATCTCGTCCCATCACGTGCCCACTGTGGTTTGTGCCCAGTCCATCCAGACGCTGTTTCTCATCATCTGGGCTTCTGGTGTATGAACCTGGTTAAGGCATCGCAACTCAAGCAAATAGCGGTTTACACCCCTTCACCACGTATACTTCAGTGTCTGGAGTCTTGCCTCTGGTGATTTAGTTCATGACCAAGTCACCACTGGAGCCGAGTGGACTTGCCGATGACTGGTTCAAGGTGTCAAGATGGGCTCCTATGGAGGAGGTTCATGAAGGACGCTCCTTGACACTTAAGAGGCAGTTGCCCCCAGCAACAAATGGCAGGGAAGCAACGCTCACAATAACAAGCGGAGAGCAGGGCAGATAAAACGCAGCTATGTGGCAAAGTGGGGAGCACAGGTGGTGAGTCTGCCAGTCATCTCAGTCAATCCATGACACCTGGGTCTGTTCCGTGATCTTCCAGAGGGCCTTTGACATTTCACGTGGCCTTAAAAGTGCACTAGCATGGTACATAAACTGGAGAAATCCCATGTGTAGCCGGCCCACCTATCCTCCCGTGAATCGTAATGAGGGGATAGGTCGGCCAAATAAACAAGAACAATAAAGCTCAGAGAGGTTGAGCAAATACTCTGCATTGTTTTCTGTCCTCCTGAGAAGTGGACGACTTCACTACAGATGGGCACCAGAGGTTTGTGAAACGGAAATGCTTTATTTCAAATTGTTCTTCCAAGGAGCATTTGCATATCTGCAATCATGACTAAACATATCCCTATCACCTTCCACGTCACACAACACCTCAGAGCAGCTCCTCAGCACGGAATCTACCGCAAATATAAAATATAACTGCCGCTTTTCAAATCTAAGAACATTTAACATCTTATTTAACAATACAAATGTAAATATTCCACAAACATATGCCTAAAATATCTGTAGTGCCTCCTAAATGTGCTACATTCCAAGATAATATTGCATTAACGAATGGATAGTACTTATATTCTGAATAATAAAGCAATAACACGTTAAATTATAGTAACATGTAAATTTGGTATATTTAACTGACAATAACCACTAAAGCCTTTTTAATTGAGACTAGAACCACTGCCAAAACACCTATTCTGCTCGCCCCATTAACTCAATGTCAGGCTAACTCCGTATGCTGACAATTGTGCATTTTACATGCACAAATGTGGCTGTTGCCTGATGAAGCTAGTTGTAATTACTGGCAAAACATCGTACTCGATAGTAAATGATCTGGCTTGGCTCTCCAACACTTTGCTGTACGAGTAACAAATTGGCATGTTCTGTTTACGTGACAAACCTTACTAATTGGCTGCATGGGATGGTGGCTGGTTTAACCCAAAAAAAACCTGTATTATGGATATTGGTTGCGAAAGGCTACATGTTAAACTCGGCAGTATCTGCACAGATTGGGGGGGGGAGGGCGGGGCAGAAGAAGAGGACATCAGTTAGAGCAATGGGCGAGATGCCAAGCACCGAGAAGCCCTTCGTAGTTGCTAGAGTAAGGCGGCCTTAGGTCGGCAAAAATCTAGTATTAAACTTCCCGCGAAAAAACGGCAAACAATTTAACTGGAAATAAGCGAATGTATCATACCTGTAATCATTACCAGAAAAACATATCACCCTACACTTCACACAGTACCTCTTGATGGGATTTAGCACCAGTGTTTATTTGCTAGACCAAATTATAACCAATTTTTATGTTGAAATATAACAAAAATACTTTAATAATATCAACGTCTTAATTGTGAATATATTCACCTCCAATAACTCATTCAACAGTCAAGCATTACCTAGTCCATGGCTTTCGATTAACATTGAAATAATATTAATTTAAGTTATATTTGATTTTCTATTTGAATAATGTAATATCTCACCAGTGCACCTCAAATTTAAAATGAGGGTGTTCCCTGTACTTTGAATAGTCTACACACTTGTAGGGGTGATTGTCACTCACCATTCAACAGCCTGTAGTTCCACTTACCGTCAACAGAGTGCAAAGGCGTTACATCGCTTACGGCACATGCCATGGGCCAGAGAGGCCAACGGTGGATCCCAGTAAACGAATCCTGGGACACATTCCCCGTGCCCCCGGGTGGGGGGGGGGGGAACCGGGGGAATGATGTCACCTTAGAGTGTTCCTGAAGGAAGGTGTGGCCAGGGCAGAGCCAGCAACGAACGGGTATATAAGCCAGAGCTCAGTTATCTACACACCAAAGACATAAGACTGGGCTG